CAAAATGCCCCCTCCACCCACCCCGAACTGCGCCGGGAAATACGTTGTAACACTAGAATGACTAAGTAACCAGACATCATTACTCTAGAACAACATTCCATATTTCCACACCAACAAAATAGTCACTTCCCGGATAGGACCCCCATACTTGCATAAAACCAGGGCCGTAGACAGAATAATAAGTAATGCGCCATGATCGAATATGCATTGTTTCGCAACTGCAACCGGTCCTAATCCGATCTGTCGCCTTTAAAATCTGGCGGATAGTTTCGGCACAACAACAAAACACTTGCAGAGCAAAACAAAACGCAAAACACTAAACGCAACCCTAAATACCCACCTGATGCTCAATATCTTCATCAGCTAAGGGGATCACCTTCTCGTAGCATCGGTCACAGATACGACGCTGCACACCTTTACCGTCATCCTCGGTGGTATGATAACGTTGGCGCGAGCATTGATGGCACACCGACTGCATACACAACCTTGAACTACACTCGTCAACTTCTTGAAAGTTGTTTCTTCAGGTCTAGACAACTTCAAGGCGGCGTTTATACTTTACGAACGTGAATGAGTGCGGTGGATATGTGACAAGGACAATCGTAATAAGCCGCGCTGGTGGGCGTGGCAAGCGCTGCCGCGTGCGACATAAGACTTGTCCTGCCGGGCCACTTACATGTGAGTGTCAGGAAAATCGGAAACGTTTGGAGTCTTGTCTTGGCTCGAACATGACGTTTGCTGCTCCAATCGACAAACTGGTCCAACTCGAGAAGCTGTCGCGTACGCGCATCGCCGCACTATACGCCGCGCGCGACGTCGCGACAAATTTGATTGTCTTGTCCGTCTCCCATGAACGACTACACAGGCCACTACCGATTCCGGAAAGCCAGTGATAGAGGAAAATATACGCATCGATTTGGAGAATCAACATTGAAAAACAGGTGGGGATCAAGTGACTCCTCTCCCCAGCGAATTGCACATTCTCCCAAATCGCTTATCCTCCACATTCGCAAAGTATAAACGCTGCCTTTTCAGTAAAAACCATTCTTCTTACCTGCATCGATGCTCGGCGTCTTCAGGGTGTAAAACACCAAGCATTGGGTATACTTTACCACATATTTGACAGTGAGTATTCCTTGATAGTGGGATGCCACTTGATTCTCGTGGAACTTCACACGAATCCACTACGGACACGTCCGATAGGGCACGACACAGACTATTACAGTCTCCATCCGAATCGCATTCGCCAAACGACACCTGAAAACTTTGAGGGTTAGGAAGTCCAGCAAACCAAATTCTGGGATAATTTATGACGAAGTGACGCTGTCTACACCAGTCTGACCGGGGAAGTCCGCCAATTTACTATGGAACTTGAATGGAGACTTGGGTAGATCGATAGAGTCTATAAGGTTATTTACAAATATAGATAGCAAAACTGCAACCTGCATTTCACAAGCAACTTATGAGCAGGTAAAGTTTGTAATGGTGCAGTAGGGTGGAGGCTTGGTGGTGAGCTGTGAAGCATAAGCGAGGAATCGCATACGTCGAATCGAGTCGTGGTGGTTCAGTGGTAAGGTTCGACGTTCGACGACTCGATTCGACGTATGCGATTCCTCGCTTATGCTTCACAGCTCACCACCAAGCCTCCACCCTACTGCACCATTACAAACTTTACCTGCTCATAAGTTGCTTGTGAAATGCAGGTTGCAGTTTTGCTATCTATATTTGTAAATAACCTTATAGACTCTATCGATCTACCCAGGTCTCCATTCAAAGTTTCATGGTAAGTTGGCGGACTTCCCTGGCGAACCTCCTTTAGCACTGTGTGTGGCTCCCAGCGTTGACGCAGCACCGCTACGCGATGCGTTTACCTCTTGAGAGGAACATGATATGTCACTGACGTCCTGACATTTGCACAATACAGGTTTCCTCGTCATGCAGATGTTATATGACAGGTTGTCTCACTACAGTATTAGATGACACGGCCGCTGTTCAACTGAGGTGAGAAGACAGTTGACAGGTACTACTTACAACAGTTAAAAAGCAGTTTCTACAAAGTTTGACTGGCATCACTTCACTCCTTCACAAAATTTAACATATCTCTACCTGATGGCTCGACACGACAATGAGGAGGAAAAAAAAGCGAAATTACAAAATACCCCCCAGCCGAACTGCGCCGATTCTACTAGCCCATTAATTTTCTGGTCAGGGTATAGCATCGTTAGGAGAATCTTATCAAAGAATTTTTCTTGTCCGATGGG